TGAGCAGCAATACACAAAGAGAGAGCTCAAACTAGGTCGCACGCAGCCAAAGCATGGAGAAAATAAGCAACTCAGCACATTCAGACCAAGCTGAGGATGTTTAAATAAAGCAGCTTACTCTTGGCAGGAACATATTAAACAGAGTTAAGAGATAAGATTAGGTAACCCCTCACTCAAACATTTTTTTGTGTTCAAAATTATTCCATATACTGAATCATCTTACAATTCTTTAAAAAATACCATTTGGGGAATTTCTGCTTTAAAAAGAGCACAAAAGGCTGCAAACTCACAAAAGGCTTTCGGAAACTCAAGTAAAACTGCTAGTGAAGAAAAAATTGTTCAAAGAAACCACCACCTCCTCTATCTAACCCTAACTCACAAATTCTAAAGGACTGAGCCGCAGCCCTCCCCACAACAATCTCTAGAGTATTTTATTAACACACGCATGTAGGAGGGAGCCTAGAACTTAACTGCAACAAAATGATTTAAGAACTCGAATGTTTGCTTCAAAATGTTTCTAAGAATGAGGCACAGAATAATAATAGTGAACGTTTACGAGCAGCATTCTGAGAAGCAGTACAGCACTGTACAGGGTCCAGCAGAAGTAAGGCCTGCTCGAGTGTGGTTGGTAGGGTAATAATATGGGTGCAATAATTTATAGTTTTAATTTGAACATTTCACCTAAAATGTCACATGGTGTGCTTGAATGTGATATTGTTATGTTACAGAATTACATGCTTATGATTTTGTGATAAAGATTTGTAACAAAAAGGGGGTGTGCTATTTGCGCCGGGCCCTGCAGTTAAAAAGCAGTGTCTCTGGAACCAGACTTCCTAGGTTTAAAGACTGACTCTGTCACTTACCAGCTGTATAATTTTGGGGAAGTGATTTAACCTCTCTGTGTCTGTTTCCTCATCTGTAAAATGGGCACAGTGATGTACATATTCCATATAGTTAATGTAGAGATAAAAACCTAATCAACTCTGAGAAAGGCATCTTTCCAAAAAAATTTTACTGTAAAAAATTTCAAACAATTTCAAAATGTGAAGCATTGGTAATACAGTGGTGGGCATAGCTGCCTTTTAAACACACACCAAAGCAGCCAGAAGAATATAATGAATTTCCATATACTTACTACTCAGCTTCAATAATTCACATTATGCCCATTTTGCCTACCACCCCCATTTTGTTTGTGCTTGATATTTTATTTTATTTTTTAAGATTTTTATTTATTTATTTTGAGAGAGAGAGGGCAAGAGACATCAGTATGTGGTTGCCCCTCGTGGGCCCTCTACTGGGGACCTGGCCCACAATCCAGACATGTGCCCTGACTGGGAATCAAACTGGCGACCATTCCACTCACAGGCTGGCACTCAATCCACTGAGCCACTCCAGCCCGGGTGTGTGCTTGACATTTTAAAGCAATCCCAACATCATTTCTTCATAAATATGTCAGTATGTATCTCTAGAAAAGACTTCTTTTTTAAAAAAAAAGATTTGGCTGCCTCTCATGCGCCCCCTACTGGGGACCTGGCCCACAATCCAAGCATGTGCCCTGACGGGGAATGGAACAGGTGACCCTTTGGTTCACAGGCTGCACTCAATCCACTGAGCTACACCAGCCAGGAAAAAAGACTTCTTAAAAAAATACCTATCTTACCATTTCACAAAAATTAACAAGAATTCTTTAATATCATGTAACATGTAGTCTGTGTTCAAATTTCACTATTTTAATTCTCAGTTTAACTTTTCTAGGTGTTTCAGTGGCATGTCATAGTTAAACAGGCAATATTTTTTCCTTTATTAATGGTAGATAAAATAACAGTGCATTTCACAATCCATGACATCTTAGATTCAAAAAGTATGTGTAAGGTACTTCAAACTGAAGGCTATGTAAGTATTTGCACCTGCTCTCCAAAAATTGGACACTTACTGTGTTCTAGACTCATTCTAAGCTCTTTACATGTTTTTTTTTTTAAGATTTTACTTATTTACTTTTAGAGAGAGGGAAGAGAGGAAGAAAAGGAGAAAAATACCAGTGTGCAACAGATACATGATAGAATGCCTCGCGCACACCACCAACTGGGGCCCTGGCCCGCAACCCAGGCATGTGCCCTGACTGGGAGTCAAAGGGGCAACCTTTGGTTCATAGGCAGGCACTCAATCCACTGAGCCACACCAGCCAGGGCTCTTTACATGTTTTATCTCCTTTAATTCTCTACACAGTCTTTGAGGTTCACACTATTACTATTGCCATTTAACAAGAGAAAATTGAGGTACAGAGAAGACAAAGTCAGCCTCAAAGTCACGCAAGTGGTACAGAGAGAATTTGAACCCAAGCAGTTTATTCAAGAGCCCACTCTTTAAAATGTTTTTAAAGATTTTATTTTTTATTTTTAGAGAGAGGGGAAAGGAGAGATAAAGAGAGGGAGAGAAACATCAATGTGTGGTTGCCTCTTATAGGCCCCCAACTAGGGACCTAGCCTGCAACCCAGGCACATGCCCTGACTGGGAATTGAACCGGTAACCTTTTGGTTAATAGGCCGGCGCTCAATCCACTCAGCCACGCCAGCCAAGGCCCAGAGCCCACTCTTAACCACAAAATTGATGTTCCTAACATTCAAAAAATAATGTCAATTCCTTAAATCTGTTTTATATTGATCAATTTTTCAGAGGAAAAATTTTTATATAAAGTTTTGCTGAGCCCTGGCTGGTGTGGCTCAGTAGATTGAGTGCGGGCCTGTAAACCAAAGGGTCGCTGGTTCAATTCCCAGTGAGGGCACATGCCTGGGTTGTGAGCAAGGTCCCCAGTAAGGGAGCGCATGAGAAGCAACTAATCCATGTATCTCTCTCTCTCCCCCACATTAATGTTTCTCTCCCTCTCTTTCTGCCTGCCTTCCCCCCTCAAAATAAATAAATAAATACAATAAAATCTCTTAAAAAGTAAATAAATAATAGTGGTTTTCCCTTCTTTTAGGCAAATTGTTAAAAAGGGAGCACTAGCCTTGGTGGCAACAAACCCAATGTTGCAAGAGGTATACAGAATTTTGCTAACTAAAGGCCACACAAGCTCAAGCACAATAATTCCATGCCAGCAGAACACACGCAGAGATTAAAACCATATGAAACAGCAAGGGGAAATTTTGATGCTAACCCCAAGACCAGAATCATTTGAGATCTGCAGGTGGGTTCTTAAGAAAACTGCAAAGTCATCAACAAGTGGCAGTTATAGGATGCCCTCTGAATGACTGGTACCACAGAAGCACTTTGAAAAAAGACAAGCTGTTGGTCTCAAAGATACTTAATCTTAAAAACTCGATAATTCAGGAAAGGATAAGTGTATTCTGATGAAGAACAAGGCTGACATTTTTTCAGTGGGGGGGGGGATATTAAGGCCAGTAGAAAGAAAATATTGTGTTATCCTGGAATAAGAAGAAGAGAGAAAGAACTAGCTGCGTCTTGAGGGCACAAGCCCTGGACACTTACAGTCTCATCTCAGAGGGGTGTGAGTCATCATCTTCTCCCATTATAATGATGCCTTTGAGCTTGACGTTGCCTGTAAATCTGCCAGAATGCAAAAGAGATGGCTGTCACCTGGGCATGAACCTCTGCGGACTCTGGGAAAGACCCTTCCCCTTTCTGGGCTCCAGTTTATTCAAGTGTCAACTTATCCTCGATCATTTCTAAGATCTTTTCTGCCTCTGGCATTCTGCAGTTCGAAGAAATTTACTTGAGTTTTCAGTTATCCTTCAACAAATATATCGTTCTTGTCTGCGCCAAGAAATCTCTGATGCTTTCTTCCTCAAACCCACCACAGTAATTTACCTGGTTTCTAGAACAGATGGTTCTTGACACAACCAAGGAATGAGTTCTGATACAGCAACTGGGTACAGTCTATTTAGCCTGAGGCAAGCGCCAAGAAGATACTTACGGAATATTAAACAGAAGCTCTTCATCTGCATCACTTTCAACAAACTGGAGGGGACGGGGAGGAGGGAGGAGAAAGCAACAAATATTTGCTGAGAGCCTACAATTTCAGGTATCTTCTATCCCTGCTCTACAACTGGAGTGCAATGCAAGTAAGAAGTCAACCTCCCTCGGTTTTTAGCACTTACTAACTTGATGTTGGTAAGCTGAGAGCCACCGACCATCCAGACCCAGAGGGTTCTTGATGGGGACCTCATGAACGAACTTCCAGGGCCGACTAAGCCCCTGAAACTGCGTGCAAAGATCTGAGCCTGTGAGGTCCAAAACTTTCACATGGCTCTGCGACCCCGCAATGGTGAATGCTCTAGCTTGGACAAGCTTCATCTCCCTAGGCCGGTGTCCAGGAGATACGATCGGGCAGCCATCGGCACTAGTGGTGAAAAGGTAGGAAAGACGCCCTCATGGCCATCCTCCCCCACTACCCACAGAAGCCCCGGAACAGAACGTTGGCCGTACCCCTTTCCCTCTCTGGGCCTCAGTTCCTTTATCTGCAAAATGAGGAGATTCGATCCTGTTCGGCTCCCGAAGGACGGGCAGGAGATGGGCACGGGAAAGCGCTCGGCAACCGGGCTGTCATTTTTAACTCCAGGAATGAGGTTGTCAGAGCAGACCGGTGGCCCGAGGCCCCGCGCGGATCCCCGCCTCGCCCGCCCCAGGCCCGGGAAGGCCCACCTTGGAGCGGTCGGTCCGCTCCTCCCACGGCTTGAAGACGCCGCGGCCGCTGCCCTCACGGCTCTCGTTGAGGCACTGCAGCCGCTCCAGGTCGATGCGCAGGTACAGGCCGTAGGCCAGGCCGCGCTGCTCCGGTGGCTCCTCACGTTCCGCCGCGCAGCGGCAGCCGCCCCCGCCGTGACTGTGGCCGTGCGACATGGCGCCGCCGACGCCCGCGCGTCTTCTCAGTCCCGTCGCCGCCGCCCGCACCGCGCTCCCTCCGTTCTGGCCGCCAAGCGCACCTTGGCCGACGCGTCGTAAAAGGCGCCCCGATGCGGCGCATGCGTCCAGGGCGGAGGGGGCGGGGCTCGGAGGGGACTGTCGTTTGACGAGTCTTTCCAGTTCCCATGGAATTTGTGTTGACTCTTTCAGCCCTAGAGACACATGCTGCCACCAGCCCAGTTTAAACTGAGAGGGCGGGGAGGTTCAGCCGCTTCTCCGAGTAAGTGGTGGCGCTGGGTTTTGAATTCTCCTCCCGCTTAGGCTCAAGTCTGTGCTCTCCTTTTACAGCCGCCGTTTTGCGGAGCTGGCGGAGGAAAGGGTGCGCAAAGATAAGGGCCTGAAGAGCAGAGAGCAAGACGTTATCACTGCCTCGCAGGTGCACGTTTAGGCGCTTGCACCTTACAAACCCACTTTCATAACCGCTTTCTTCACAGTGGGCTCAGCGGTCACGAGCGTGGGTTTCCTGGACGGCCGGGTCTGAAGACAAGTCCTGGGTCTGCTACTGACGATGTGACACTCTGAATAAGTCATTTCCCCCATCCTGAGACTTCATTTCCTCATCTGCTAAGTGGGAATGATGATATCTGCTTCATAGGATCGCAGTGAGTATTCAATGAAATAATGCACTTAAGGAACTCAACGCAGACTGACACACCGTGAGAATTCAATGGCTGAGTCAGATCTTGATTCGAGTCAAGCGCTGCCACTCACTAGCTGTGCGGCCTTGAGCTCAGTCTCACGTTACCCCAGTAAAGTGGACCAGATGAACTTTCAGTCCCCTCCCCGTGAGCTGTTTCAGAACAGGTTTTTCAAAGGGGCTGGTTTTGTCTTGAAGTCCATTCAGAGGGATATGACCAGCATTCAAAAAATAAAGTAGACTATAATGAGAAATTCAGAGTGTATCACACATTTGAAGTCTCAATTTATGGAACTTCCATTTCAGTTTTGCGTCTGTGTACCTAGGTACAACCTAACATGTTTTTAGAGAGTTGTGGCATGTCCTGAGTTTTCCCTGCCCCTCACTTTTGGCTCTGGAGTGTTCAGACAAGATGAGACTGGTGACATACAATCCAAAATACCATGTGGTCAAGTTTCACTTAGAAATATTTTGATGTCCTTGTTCAATTCTTTGCAAAACAAGCAGACTTCGTTCTGGTTCTGGTATAGAGCTCAGTGTCATGAATTATTACAGCTTTCACATCACAGTTTCAGGCAAGAGGCTTGACGTGTGGTAGAAGCCAGTAAATGTTTAATTGAATGATACACTCAGCAGCCTTTCTTTGAGGAGACCGGGCCGCACGCCAGGACCTGCACAGGCCTTACTCGGGACTTCTGTTCACTTTTGGCTTCTTCATCATTTTCGTCATTGTCATCCTTTACTGATTTATTGAGCACTGTGTGCCAGGCATTGTGTTTAGCACGTTCAATGCAGTTCATGTCAATTATCTGTCACATGAACATTAAGAGATAGATAGTGTTACCATTATCATCTCCAATTTGAAGATGAGAAAAACTGAGGCTGAAACAGGTGAATTAACTTGCCCCAAATCAGATGGACTTAGAACCCAACCAGATTTTGAGCACATCTTATATTCCTGAAGTAAAAGGTGCACGTGAAGTAAATATGTTGTAACAGTTAGCTTATGCTGTGTAACAAATAACCCCAAAACTTAAAAGCTTTAAACAGCAACCATTTATTATTTCTCATGATTTGTAGATTGCCCAAAAAGCTCTTTTCTGGGCCATTTGGCTTGGGCTAAATAGTGGGGAGTGGCCTCACTCACATTTCCAGTTGATGATACCTGAGGTGATGGGCCACATGTTTCCAGCAGGCTACCTGAGCTTAATCACATGCAAGCAGTTGCAGAGTTCCAGGAGCAAAAGAGAAGGGAAGGGAATTGGCGGGAAGATCCAATTACACAAGCACTTTTTGACTCTCGGCTTCTATAACTTTTGCTAATGTCTCTTCAGCCAAAACAAGTTTCTTTTGAAATTCAAATTCAAGGGTGGGTAGACATCCTCTTTTGATTGGAAGAATTGCAAAACACTGTTTCCCCCCACCCAATATACCCGAGTTAGTTAACTTTTGTTGTGTAACAAATTACTCCCAAATTTAATGGCTTATCACATTTATCTCACAATTTCTGGTTTAGCTGGCTGATTCTGGCTCGGTTCTCTCATGAGCCTGAAGGCCTCTGAAAGTTGCTTCCAGGATGGTGCACTCACATGGCTGGCAAGATGCAGGCTGTTGGCAGGAGGCCTCAGTTCCTTGCTAAGTGGACCTCACCATAGGACTGCTTGAGTGTCCTCATGACGTGGTCCCTGGCTTTCAACAGAGCAAGGGACATAAGAGAGAACAAGGGGGAAACCACAATGTCTTTTATGACCTAGCCTTAGAAGTCACATATCATCAGTTCTGCAATATCCCATGGTCCCATAGGTCAGCCACATTCAAGGTGGGAGGGCACCACAGAGAGGTGTGAATACCAGGAGGTAGAACCCGTTAGAGGCAGCTACCGCACCACCATACATTATTAAGTAAATACTAAAAATGTCTATATTCTCTTATGTGAGTATTTATTTGGTTATTTGGCTGAGGCTTGAATTTTCTCCGAAGTTTGAAGATATTTCCCTATGTTCTTCTAGCTTGGAGAAGTACATTGTCATTCTGATTCCTGCTTCTTTCTCTGGGTTTTCCCCCCAGTCCCTTCCTAGAAGGAGCTCTTAAGATCTTCTCTTGGTCCCTTGTGTTACGAAGTGTGATGATGTCATGGCTCTTCTGTCATTTTGTGCTGGATACCTGACGGGCCCTTTCAGTTCAGAAACTCTAGAACAGAACGTGGGCATACAGGTTAGGACATCCGCATACTTGGGCAAAGGCCCCTTGCAGGGAAACATACTTAGGGCTATGAAGAGAAGAGGGGTGGGCAAGGGTCCCGTTCTACCCTCACCCACCACCTTCTAGTGCCGAGTCCGAAGAGACTCAGAAATTTGAATGTGGCTTTCAGGTCATTGTGAAGGTTTACTTGTCAAGGTAGCAGAATAGGCTGTATTTTATTTAATATTTTATTAGCTCCATTTATAACTTAAGTGTGCGTCCTTTTATACTCTCCATCCAGTCCCACAAGTATTAGGAATGGCCTGCTGGGCAAGTTGCTTAGCTTCTCTAAGCCTCAGATTTGTCATATATAAAATGGGAATAAGAGTACCTACTTTTTAGGGTTTTATTATGAGGGTGATATGAGATAATGCAGGAAAAATGTTTGGGTCTATGGGAAAAGGTTCAAGTTCTTCATTGCTATTGCCAAGAGCAAGACTTAAAGCTCAGCGCCCCCGTGTGGTTGGACGGGAAACTGCAATTACTTAGAGGCCTGAAGTTAGAACAAACAGGAGCTTAGCTGGTTTGGGAATGAGCCTCTGCTTAGTCTGGCTGCGCCTTGTCTTGCACCCCTGTATTTGTGTGAGGAAAACTAGGAGAGCTCACTGACTTCTGGGACTACTCTGGGGCAGGTAGGAAAAGCTTTCAATATTTTTTTCTTTCTACTACTACCAGGCACCATCTGTAAACATTTCTGTAGCTCAAGAACTGATGAATTTGTATCTGTTTTCCTTTATCTCCTGTCCAAACTAGGCCATTTCATTTCTCTGTTACTTTTGAATGTTTTCTTTGTGGCAAACTGAGAGTATAGTAACAATAACAACTAACAAGCATATGGCACTAATAATGTGCAAGTACTATCCCAAAGACTTACTTACATTATTATTAAGAGTTTTTTAAAATTTATTTTTACACAGAGGGGAAGGGAGAGAGAAAAAGGAAGGAAACATCAATGTATGGTTGCCTCTTGCCCACCCCCCCACTGGGGACGTGGCCCACAACCTAGGCATGCGCCCTGACCGGGGAATCAAACCAGCGACCTTTCAATTTGCAGGCTGGCACTCAGTCCACTGAGCCACACCAGCCAGGGCTATTTTTTAACCTTTATAACTACAAGTTTCTTATTATTATCTTCATTTTGTAGATGATAAAACGGGCACAGGATGGCTAAATAACTCGCTGGTTAGCAGTGGAGCTAGGATTTGAGCCCAGGCAGTGGGCCTCCAGAGCCTGTGCTCTTACCACATTGAGCTTTCTCCACCTGTTAGCATTTATTGAGTACTTGCTCTGTGCCAAGCTGAGACCCCAGAGTTCAGGCTCTTAACCACCACACTGCGCTTACCAGCTGGGTTACCTTGGACAAGTCTTTTTGCTCAGAGTTTCGGTTCTAACAACAATCCTTTACTAAATGCCCATTCCGTGTTAGGTACTGCAGCTAACTCATCACCAGCATCCTGGCTAACATGTCCTGAGCTCTTTTTATGTGCCACTTTTTAAGCACTTCACATGTTTCATTTAACTCATTAAATCATTACAGGGCAGCTTTATAAGGTTGATGTATTTTTCTCATTTTTGAAGGAAGAAACTGAGACATAGAGACGTTAAATGACTGGTTCAAGGACACACATCTAGGAAGTGTGGGATTCCAGGCTAAGTGGCCTTGTAGATTACCTTGGGCACCATGCTTGCCTTTGGAGTCTTTGGTGCTGTTAGCAAGTATTTCCAGCTCTGTGTCCAGGCACACGGATAAACTGTACTTCCCTGTTCCCTTAAATTTAGGTGCAGCCAATGAAATATGATTGAAATGATGGATGTCACTTCTGGACATAGCTTAGGGGCAACCTGAGATCCTGTGTTTGAGAAACACGGATGAAGCTACATAAAAGTTCAGTGGCCAGCCCTGGCTGGCATAGCTCAGTGGATTGAGTGCGGGCTGCAAACCAAAGCATCGCAGGTTTGATTCCCAGTCAGGGCACGTGCCTGGGTTGCAGGCCACAGCCCCCAGCAACCACACATTGATGTTTCTCTCTCTTTCTTCCTCCTTTCCCTTTCTAAAATGAATAAATAAAATCTTTTTTAAAAATAAGCAAACTTTAGGAAATTATTTTTTCAAAAAGTTCAATGGCCTGAACCGAAAGTGTTGAAACAGTAGGCATCTGTCCTGTGAGGACAAACTGCCTGTTTCACCATTTTGCCAATAACCAGGAGACGCACACGTGGATGCGGAACACTAGCGGAGAAACCCTGTGAAGGGGGCATCTGTCAGGGTAATAAGCCAGGGAGGGGATTCTTCTGGGCATCAGTTACATGCAGCAGAGAAAAAAATCATTCTTAGAAATGATTAGGGCCTTGGCCCGGGCATCTCCGTGTCGGAGTCAGTTTTGCTGCAGAAGTCTAACACTGGGTATGTGTTCCTTTATGAGCTAGTTAAACCTGACTGGGAATGTGTGCTTGGGAGTCAGGCCAACACAGAGCACCACTGCTCAGTGACTGTGTGACCTCAGGCAAGTTCTAGTTCCTCTGTGCTTCAGTTGCTCACTTTTAAAGTGGGGCCATGACCACCTGCTTTGTAGGATCATTGGGATAATGAAGACAAAGTACATGAGACAGAATGGTGCATGGCACATAGTAGGTGCATAACCTGCGGGGCCAGTTACTCTTACCTGAAGGTGAGAGCCAGATCTGACTGTGTTAGTCTGTAGTCCAGGGTCTAATACAGATCCTGGTTCAGCAAGTTGAATTAATAAGGGACAAAGAACTAACAAAACAAACTCTGGGTAAAGTCATCCATCAGATAGCATGTTCCATAATTAACTTCAATGCATAGTAATTTCTAACAGTGAGAATTAGATCCAATAAACACCTGGGAGAAGTAAATCCAGACTGTGTACCAAAAATGCCCTCATTAGGAAAGAAGGGGTAGCACGACTGTGTTGCTCTGAGATGTGGGTTTACAGTAAGCTCCAACCCACTGGCTGTGTGCAGGGGCTGAAACCAAGCCCTCGGCTCCATTGGCAGCTGCTGAAACTCCAGCTGATGAGCCAACACAGCAGGTTCTCATTAATTCCTTGCTGACATGACCTGTCTGCATTGGTGTTCATTATGCTCTCATTAGGAAGCCATTGGAACACGGAGGGACCTACCAGTGTCTTTCACACCCCTCAAGAAGTGACTGAAGGGTGGAGTAGCATCCCTTGCAGTCAGAGAATCTGAGTTTCCTTTGCCACTTACTAGCTGTGTGACTTTGGGCACATTATTTCACTGCCTGGGCCTCAGCTTCTGTCAGTGGATTAACAGCTCAGTCCCAGGGTTCCCAGGAGAACAAAGGACAGTGCCTGGTCCCCACTAGGTGCTCACTTTTATCCCAGTTCCTCCCTTTGCTTACAGGGCTCTTTCCCCTCCCCAAGTCCTGCTGGGCCACAGACAGAACTCCAGCCTCCTCTATGGCCCAGCCCAGGGACTCAGATCTCCGCCTCACAGCCCGGGAACCAGACATTTTGTGACCGACTTCCATTCTGGGACCCAATAAGGAAGAAAAACAACAGTAGTAGGATTTTTGGTTTTTTTTTTATTTAGACATGGAATTTTCTTCCTTTTCATATAACTTATCTAATTAAAATATTCATCTTGGTAGTTACCACAAAAAAGTAACATAGAAAATTGTATTTACATTTTGGGACCAAAATACAAATGAAGAGCAGGAAGATATCTTGCTCCTTTCCCTCCCACTTCCCGGAAAGAGAAAGCCCTAAGGAAACTGCTCATCATACCATCAATCACAAAGGGTTAATTTGTAATTTGGTGATTTGTATATAGTGTTGCACAGAAAACAAAATTGCACAAGTTTTCACAAATGAGACCAAAGGTTCAACATCATCCTATGCCTGCCCTGCAGCCATTTCCATAACCCAGGTGAAGAGGTCGTTTAGAAACTCAGTTTCTCCTCTTCCCTCCTTACAGTCCTCACCAAGTCACATCCCCGACACAGACATGCTTGGGAGGGGCGGGGGAGGTCTGGCTCTGTGTGAACAGAGGTGATTGCAGATCTCCATGGTAGTGATGTTGGGATGAATGTGTACGTGTCTTTTTCCCCCTCCCTGCCTAAGGACTCCTAATAAAGGAAATTAAATCATACACAACTGAATGTGAAATACGAAGAACTGGTTTCAATGACAAAGACTTGAATTCAGAGCTAAGAGACAAATTCAAGGTGGTAGGCACCTTGAGGAAGCTACGGTAGGCACCTGGCCCAGGTGTTCACTTGGCTTTAGGAGGGAGGCTCCTAATGTTAGACTTGGGGATGGGGTGGAATGGCAATACAGTCAATCAAGAGAAATAATGCTTTACCCAATTAAAAAATACAGTATATTAAAACAGAACAATACTTATGCCCCATCGCAGCAGGCACCCCGTACAGCAGTGTGCACTGAACAGCCACTGCTCTGGGTCTTCGACGTTGGCGGAACTGGGTCTCCAGGATGGTTATAAGCAATGGGCTTCCCTATTCTGAGCTTTGAGTGCGCTTATTGAAGGGACAGACTGCCACGGTCCTCAGTCTGCTTAACAGGTTTCTTAAGGACAGGCCCCTCGGTTTATGGCATCTGCTTCCACCAGGGCCACAACCAAGTGGACCAAGTGGGGTCCTCCTAGATTGGTGTTCCTCAGCAGCCAAAAGGGCACTGACACTGCCCTCCCCATTCTGACCTTACCCCCAGGTCACCTCAAAAGTGAGACTCTCCCTTCCCAAACTCATGGATACCCCTGTGGTTCTCCCCCATCTTGACACTACAGCTCAGACACTTTTGCTAAGTTGGCCCTTCCCTCCAAGTTCTGGCTTAAACACTTGAAAGTAGAGAGAGCTTCAGCTGCAAAGCTCTCTACAAAACACAGCAACTTATGGTGCTCTTCCAATCACATGATCGTACCTTTTAAAGAAAGCAAAACCAAACCAATTTCCAGCATAGCATTACAGCTTTTAAAACTATTCACTTCTAGTACTAATTCACAGGGATCAAGAAGTTAAAGTGCTGGCTTTTAAAACTCTAAAGTTGTATTGGGGGTGGGGTGGGGTGCGATAAAAAGCCCTGCCGAGTATTTGTGTTTCCCCCATGCTAATGGGAGCAGGAAAAAGAACCCTAAAGTTTAGAATCAGACACTGGAAATTGGTTCTGTGCAAATTGACTTTCAAGGTTCTGTGTCCTCTAATGAGCCTCAAAAAAAAAAAAGTGGGACCTGGCAAAAAGGATGGGGGAAAGATTCTAGACCTTCACAAATAACCTCCCTTAATAATAAATACTATTTAGTGAATAAAAGAGAGAGTTCCTCCTGCACAGGAACCCAAAGCAACACTGGGGAGGACCTCAGTGGCGGGGCGTCTAACCTGAACGCTTCCTGTCCGCACGGTGAGGGCCCCCTCTAGACAGGTGGCCCCGGACCCACTCCTCGCCCTGTGGAGCAGGCACCACACAGGCTCTGGGGATGCCCAGTCCCCGCTCTGGACCAGAGTCCATTCAGGAGAGCCCAACTGGGATGGGGAATGGCTTTCATTAGGCTGTTGTCTAAGCTGATTAATAAAGGACCCTGAAAATAAAAGGCTAAGTGTATGGTAGAGGACAAAAAACACAAAAACAAAAAACCTGGGGGTAATATAAATACAATCTGGGCAATATTTATTAATTAAAACTATCTTATAGTTTACAAAGAAGCTAAATAACAACAAAAGTATAATTGACCTTAAAACGCTCAGTGAGACTGAGGCTTCACATCTTCTTCAGAACTCTGAAGTATTCTCCAGGCGGGGAGGCAGTGGCTGCGGCACGTGGGTTCACAGATGCGACCCCTGCGGACTGTGCAGGACTCAGAGACCGAAGCTTCCACGACGCAAAAGACTCAGGTCTCCTTTGGAAGTTCCATTCCCCAGCCCCCACTGTCCTTATCTTCCTCACCCCTAAATTCCACCTCCAAGGCAAGTCCTCAGTTTATCGTCGGGAGAATCTGTTCTTGAAAGCTTTAATTGTCTTAGCCATCATGGGGGCAATTTCTGTGAAAAGAAAAATAAGGCCATTGTTTCAAATCCGTGGCACTTCACACGCACACCAACAGTGCTTTACAATCAAAGCCAAAGTCTCGTCACTCTTGGTTCTGCACCACCAGACAAACCGATGCAAGTAGCAGCGGTCTGCTAACAGTGCGGTAAAAGCATCGGCTCAGCACTAACACCTGCTGAACACCCGCAGAGCACCTGCCAGGCCCAGAACAGTCACTATCTCTGAGTCTGACAACCTCACCAAGACTCAGAGAGACTGGCCAACTTGCCCCTGGTTATACATAAGTGACGAACTGGAATTCAGTCCAGACTTTAAAGGCCATGCTGAGCCATAACTTAACTCTGCCTCACCAACATCCAAACAAGCAGAAAGCACTCCCTTCCCAGCCCATCTGTCCACTGTAGCAATCTGTCTGACACGAGCTAAATGCACATACCACCAGAGGGCTGGTTAACCGTAGCTCAGCCAAAGCTTAAGCCAGGGCTCCTACCCTCCAGCGGGCCCTGAAGTGAGTGCAGAATAATGCTTTTAAGTTAGGGCATCTCCTTACAATCCTGGGCATAGCCTAGTAATCAAGTTAATAAAATACAAAACAGACCCAACTAGATATAACAAATAAATATTTGGAAGCTTGGGTTTTAAAGTTATAAAACCTCAGTTAAGACAGACTATCATGTAGCTGTCAATGATAGTGATGAGCCCTATGTTAGTGGTTTGCATTTGGGTAAAATAAAGCAGAGTGCTAAAATGAATATTCACTATGCATTATAGAAGAGATACACATGCTCTGGCTGGTGTGGCTCAGTGGCTTGAGGGCTGGCCTGTGAACTGAAAGGTCGTGGGTTCAATTCCCAGTCAAAACACATGCCTGAGTTGTGGGCCAGGTCCCTGGTTGGGGGTGTGTGAGAGGCCAACTGGTTGATGTTTCACTCCGTCTCTTTCTCCCACCTCTCCCCCTCTCTAAAAGTAGATAAATAAAATCTTTAAAAAGGAAAAAGCCCTGGCTGGTATGGTTCAGTGTATTGAATGCCAGCCTGTGAACCAAAAGGTCGCCGGTTCAATTCCCAGACAGGGCACGTGCCTGGGTTGTGGGCCAAGTCCCCGGTTGAGGGGTGTGCAGGGGCAACCTATCAATGTATCTATCGCACATTAATGTTTCCGCTCCCTCTCTTTATCCTTCCCTTCTCTAAAAATAAATAAAATCTTTAAAAAATAAAGATACACGAGCAGCCCTGACCAGTGTGACTCAGATGGCTGGATGTAGTCCTGCAAAGGGAAAAGGTCACCAGTTCAATTCAGGGCACAGAGCCTGGGTTACAGGTTCGGTCCCCAGTTAGGGTACATCCAAGAGGTAACTGATCGATGTTTCTCTCTCACGTCAGTGTTTCTCACTCTTTCTTCCTCCCTCCCTTCCCCTCTCTCTAAAAACAAAATCTTTAAAAATAAATAAAAGATACATGTGCATTATGCACAAGCAGGGGAAAGGAGGCACTGACATGTAAACGAGCTATATGCATGGCCTCACACGTGTGCTACTCCCAGTACACAAATGATGCAGGGGTAATGACATCAAAGGGGCCCAAATACTAGTTTTGAAATATCTGAGCAGAAACTCCCAAATCACTCACTCTTCACAGGCGGTTTCCTAGGATCGTAGGAAACAGCACTGCTGACGACGGGCATGTAGTGGGCACTTTTGGTGCTCGGGCCATCATAGGCTGACTTCTCAGGGCTGGCGTTAAAGCTGCTGCTGCCACTGCTGGAGGGAGCATGACTGCTTCCTGTGGGGTAAGGGGCTGGCTTAATCCTGCAACACAGAGCAGAGCTGGTCAGTCATCAGCCTGAGAAATGCACCTGCAGCGCCAGCAATCTGAAGCTGGTCTTTTTAAGGAAGACTCAGCTGCATGGATTTGACCAGTGAACACTAGCATCCTAGATTCTGGAAATGAGTCTCAGACGGCCCTTCAGAATGAATGATAACCTCGACTAACTTCACTGTTTAAGTGTAAACCTGCATTTTGAAAATGCTAGTTGATTTAGATTAAATAATTTAGTCATACAGTAAATCCCATTTCTGTTTAAATGGGGAAAGGAAAAGCATAAGTGACAATGTTTCCCAGAAGCCGGGGCCTGTTTTCCACTTAATCTCAATCTCTCTGAGAGGCAGGAATAACTATCCAGGCTGCACTGCAGTCAAGGAAGCTGGGGCTCCAGAACCCACTCTGCATTGTTGTGCTTTCACCCCCAAAATGAACTGCTTCTAGTGCTTGAGCTGCTTTCTCGAGGTGAGTGACAAGCTCTTAGACTCCCTTCCTTGAGCTTGCAGAAACCACAGAGGAGCGGAGATCTTACTTGATTTTCTCGGGCACAGCTGCTCCTCCTGTTCCAAACTTCTCCTGCCTCCTTCGAACATCACGAGGTGGCTTGACCTCAGAGTCGACATAGGCCATTTGTGCTTGTCGGCCTGTGAGAAATATGGAGATTAATACCTGCCTTCTTGAACAGAGACGCCACTGTTATTTCAACAACCTACAGCATTACCAGATAAAGGCTTTTCAAGTGCTCGCAAAGCTGAGGGTTTACCAACCCTGGAAACCACTGTGTAGGGTAGCATGAGCAGTGGCAGGAAAAACCCCACCTCTGCCCCACTTCTGCAAATGCAAGAGATTTAGGGGCCAGAGGCTGGACCCGCCAAGACCCTGCCGTGGACCAGAGCACAGGGCTCAATGATTTGATTTGCCAGGCCCCAGCCCACCCTGCTGCCTGGCCCACCTGCTTACCTTTGGGCTTATTGGCATGTGCAGATTTGATATTCTTTGTCAGTAATTGTAGCCGCTGCTCTCGGGCATCCTGAAGCCGCAGGTACATCTCCCGCCATGACTCATACTCTTCTGGCCTTTCCTCCTTAAAGTCTCGGTGACAATGAACTTTCCATAATTGATCTGTTTCTTCAATTAATACCTAAAACCAGAACCAGGACATCATTTATACACAAACCTTCTTACATATCTCCTTTCCACCCTTAATCACCTAGGCTCTCCTAATGATTTTTTGGTCTGTATAGAATTATATTAAAATACCATGGTTCTTGAAAAAAAATCAAATCACTAAATTAGCCCTGATCGGGTAGCTCAGTTGGCTGGAGCATTGTCTCGATATGCCAAGACTGTGAGTTCAGTCCCTGGTCAGGGTACGTACAAGAACCATCCCATGAATGCACAAATAAGTGGACAATAAATCAGTGTCTGTCTCTCTCCCCGCCCCCAAAATTAATAAATCCATAGTCACTAAAATACAGTTAAATGTGAGGCACTATACTAGCTGCTTTGGGGAGGCTGTGGGGCTAGGAGACAACAGAAACTTAGTTTAAGATCAGTCTTTTCCTGTAGAAAAGTCAGGGAAGGGCAGGATCCAGGCACCTCCAGGGTGCCACACTGAAGTGCATTGGCAAGGGGGCCACCTAACAGATATGCTCTAATCCCCTCGGAATCAGAGGAGCAGCTAATGGAATCAGATGCATATATTCCAGCTTTAGGAGAAGTTTTGGATAGATCTCAATGTTTCTAGGGCACACCCAGTCACTAGTGATCTTTTAAAAATTTACCAGACCCCCGAGTGTCAGTGCAAAGCTGCCCCAGGCCTGGATCCCAGATGCTGTGCTGCCAGAATTCAGCCTTGACTTCTGTGACAGCAAATCCAAGGGAGGTGTGGGAAGTGTTTTCTAGCTCCCATTTTTTTTAAAAGATTTTATTTATTTACTTTTAGAAAGACGGGAAGGGAAGGAGACAGGGAGAGAAACATCAATGTGTGGTTGCCTCCTGTGCACCCCCCACCTGGGGAGAATTTGCAACCCAGGCGTGTGCCCGAACTGAGAATCTAACCCGAGACCCTTTGGTTTGCAGGCCAGCGCTCAATTCACTGAGCCACACCAGCCAGGGCTTCCGGCTTCCTGCTCCCTTCGAATCCCACCTTGATTCTAGCCCAAGAGGCCCACTTAAAAACACCAGAGACAGATGATAAAAATATTCTTGTTTAAAGGCCCACTGGCAAAACAAACATGCCCAGAACAGTGACCCAGCGGTGGCCTGCCCTTCAGCTGCAACAGATTCACAGAGACAGAGCTATTTTTGGAGACACAAGCAAGAAAACTGCCCTCTTCCCACCCCAACAGAATACTTACGTGATTGTATTCCTCTATACGATACAGCTGATCAGGTGTACACCTCTCCAAAACGGGTTCAAGAAGAGAATATGGGACACCTCCCACTTCAAAGATTGCTGCAGAGAACAAAAGGTGAAAGCACTGAGTAGCAGCAGCCAAGCCACCCAGTGATAAGTTCCCGGCTGCTGGAGAGCAAGAGAAAAGCATGTGACTTACAGTCGATGTTGTTTTTAAGTACCCGGATGCACTGCTGGTGCAAGGTCATCATTTTGGGGAGATAGGCACACTTGGAACCAGAATACACCTGCATCTTAGAATTCATTCTCCGTCCAGTGAACCCGGCTTCGTCCTCTTCCTGGGGAGAAGAGTGTGCTGCAGTGCAAGAGGAGCAGGAAGGTCAGTCACAGCGTGCTCCAAGCCGTCCTCACCTCCCACCCTGTTCCTCAGCCTCCCCGTTCCCTTTCTCAGAGGCAACTAGCGTTGCCAGTTTCCTGTGTGTCCTTCCAGAGAGTCTATGCAAAAGTAAGCAAGTATGAATTTTATTCCTTTCTAACCAATTAATAACATACTTACTATCACCATTATTTTTCCTTTACCCACGCATTAGAAATCATGCCATGCCCACACAGAGACTTGCCACAGGTGCACAGGATGCCCCTGGGGGATGTTCGTTTCTTGCTGAGAAACACTTAAATGGCTTTTGATTCTTTTGCTATTAAGACTAGACTTTTTTTTTTTAAAGATAAAAAGCTCATGTTCATCATATATAGAAGAAAAGGTTGCTAAAATTAACAGCAGCAGCTAAGATTTACTGAACACTAACTAACTATGTGGGAAAACTGGGAGGTAAAAGCTTTATCAGCTTTCAATCCACTTAACAGCCCTATGAGGCAGAAACCATTACTATTCCCATTTACAGAATATGAGACTGAAGTCCATAATTTGTTAAGTTATAACCCAAACTTGTAGAAGCCAGAGCTGGATTCAAACCCAAGAGCCTGTGCGATTAGGTTTGACGTGCACCAAAATCTGATGACAGATTCTGAATTACTTTTTTAAATCTTTATTCCATTTAAAAAAGACACAGAAAATCACCTTTTCGCTTTGGTTGGAAGGAGGACACCAATTCAAGGGAAGGAAGTGGCCGGTAATTGGCCTGTATCATAGGTAACGGGAGGTCCGGCAACACGGGCAACGCCTCGGGCGGGACCTGCAGAGAAGAGACCAGTGAGTGACTGGGGGCCCCGCACAGGCGCGGCTTCCCTCCCGCAGTCCGTTCCCGGCAGTGCTGCCGGGGCAGACAAGCCGCGGGCAGGTCCAGGCTGGAGGAGGGCGGCAGTCAGGCCTGACCACCTGAGTCAGGACACCCGTACAGACGGGCCCGGCCCGACGGGACACCTCAGCTAATGCTTTCTCTGGGTGCTCCCTACCCCGGCAGCTACACAGGCCCCGAGGAAACGACTCCGGACCGAGCTTCAACAGGCCACCTCAAAGCCAGCCGAGCAGAGAACAGCAGTGGGGTGGGCCCCGGGAGCCCCGCAAAGCCAGACACCCCGAACGGGAAGCCACCAGAGGGCGGACGGGTTACCTTTCTCGGCTTGGCTGCGTCAGCCCTAGCCGGCTGGAGTTTCTCTGACTTGTTTTCGTTCACCTTAGGTAGTTTCTGAACTGGGTCTGAGTTTTTACTAGTGCTTTTCGAGTCACTTTTTTTAAGTCCTTTCTCTCCGACGGTCGTGGCGGAGGTTTTCACCACCTTTTTCTTTTTCTTCCGGGGCTGGTCATAGCTGAGGTATGACTCAAAGGACATGGTGGGCTGCTCAAATTCATCATCCACGTCTGCCTCCTCACCTTTAGGGAGGGAGGCCGCCGGCTTCCTATTTGAATGAGTTTTCACTTTCCCCTCTTGCGTCTTTAGGTTGTTAGAAACCTTCTCTTTTGCCTTGGGCGGCAGGTCTCTGGCCCCCTTCCCTGTGCCTAAGCTGTCCAGACTTTGCTTGCTTTTGTCCGATTTGGTTTTCTCTGAGTCTTTGTGCTTTTGCTTTTTGGGGTGGTTATCTGAAGCAGTCTCCAAGGGGGACGAAAACTTCTTGGTGCTGCCCTCTCTCTCCTTCTCCCTCCTGGTGCCACCAGAGGGCGGTTTCTCCTTTGTGCCGTCCGCTGCGAGGGGCCTCCGGCTCTCCTCTCTGGAGACGGCCTTGTGGGGTTTCTCTCTGCTCAAAGGCAGCCTGTCCTCTCCCCGGTCGTCCACCGGACGCTTCTCTTTATGGGAAGATTTGTGCTCCTTGTTGTGGCTCACAACCCCCTTCCCCTGGGGCTCACCCAGCTGTCTTTCTTGACTGAAGCCCCGTCTGTCCTGAAAGGCATTACTGTGGCCCTTTCCGGGCTTCTGGTGCGGAGCAAAGGGCTCGTGGTCCTCATCGGGGGATCTGTAATGGTCCGCGGACACCTGATGAGGGTTGCCAGACGATGGAGGGGACTGAACGTGGCCATAATCGGAAGACTCGTGGTCTGAGGAGTAAATTGGTGAGACCCGGTGGCCCCTCTTCCGCTCCTCTCTCCTCTCCTGACCGTGAGACACTTTGTGAGGTCTTTCGAGCTCGGAGAGTTTCCTGTGCTTTTTCTGTCTGTGATCAGGACTACACTGTTGGCTGCTGGAGGCGTTCCAGTTTTCTTGGTAGTCCCCCTTGAGCTCCTCCTCCTTCCGGAGAGCATCCCTGGGGCGCTTTCGGGAATTGTTCTTCTCGAAGTCCTGTTCCTCGGGGTCAGTGTTTCTAAATAAAAGAAAATGCAGATAAAGCAGTTTGAAATCCAGTGTTATCCTTGTTTAGAGGACAAAGTCGAGGAAAATACAGAGCTGAAGAGAATACAGAGCTAGAAATAAGGTCTTGGGAAGAAGGTAAGTGTGTTCTGCTAAAAGATACGCAACTAAGTTTTAAAGCTGGGAACTCAAGTAATAAAATGGAAAATGATGAGTTTAACTACAGAACTGAAAGATCAAATATCTTGTGGACATGGAAGTGATTAACAGGAGGGATATTTAATTGTTACGTAAAAGGGGGGCTGTTATATATACAGTTTGTGTGCAACTACATGAAAAGCCTTTTAAGAAAAGGTTAGAAAGGAATGTACTAAAATGCTAATAATACTTGTCTTTGATGGTATGTTTATAAGAAGTTTTGATACTTTTAAAAACATTTATTTCTTAAAAAAAAGTTATTTTTTATTCTCACCCAAGAACAATTTTTCACTGCTTCTAGAGACAGGGGAAGGGAGAAAGAAACACTGATGCAGAGAGAAGCACAGATTGGCCGCCTTCCCATACACGCCCTGCCCGGGTTCAGCACTGTGACCTTTCAGTTTACAGGACGCTCCAACCATCTGAGCCACACAGGCCGAAGCAAAAATAAGTATTTTAAATAAAAAGGCAGAGAAAAAATCATAAAGAAAAAGTTTTGTCTGTAAACACTCCAAATGTCAGATTTAACCATGAACTTAAACAAACCTACAGAGCAATGTTTTTACCGTTCCACAGGAACCAACTTCTTCCACTGGGCCACGAGGTCCCTGGCAAAGCTCCCAACGTGCTCGTGTTTTCGTAAACTGTTTACTGTTTTCCCAACACCGGTCTCCTAAAAATTGGACAAAGGAATTGTTAGACGGTTGAGGAAACAGGTTCACAATATTCAAAGAAGTCAGACCTGCTGATTTCAACAAACCAATAACGGCCTTCCTAAAATATACCATGCAAGTCTCAGTATAAAGTTACTTTGTTTCTATACCCCAAACTTCTAATGACACACAGTAGCAAAGCATACTGAAGAGGAAATGCTGAACTAAACACTTCTACAATAATAACTAGGGTGACTCTGGCAGGTTCAGGCACTGAACTAAGAGCTTTGCATGCAATACCTGAATGGCCTTTACAACAACTCCGTGAAGTAGGAATCTACCCCATTTTAGAAAGTACAACTAAAGTCACAAAACTTGGATTTGGACCCAGGACTAGTTCATGCCAAAACCGATGTTCTTTTAATTTTCAGAAAAACTTTTTGAGATAAAATTCACATAACAACAAACTCAACATTTTGCCCATTTAAAGATTGTACTTGTTTACTTTTAGAGAGGGGAAAGGAGGGAGGGAGAGGGAGAGAAACACTGATGTGAGAGAGAAACATCAATTGGTTGCCTCTTGCATGTGCCCCAACCGGGACCAGCCGCAACCCAGGCCTGTGCCCTGACCAGGAACCGAACTTGGGACCTTTCACTTTGTGGGATGATGACACCCAACTGAGCCACAGTGGTCAGGGCCCATTTTAACCATTTTAAAGTACACAGTTCAGTGGCTTGGAGCACACTCACAAAACTGTGCAGCCACCACCACTATCTAATTCCAGAACATACCTGTCACCCTAGAAAAAAGTCTTGTTGCTCCCAATTCCTCCCCACCCCACCCCCTGGCAACCACAGTCTATTTTCTGTCTATGATCTGCCTATTTTGAACATTTCATATAAATGAAGTAACTCCATATGTGGCCCCCTGTCTCGTTTCTTTCACTTGCAAAGCCCATGCTCTCTATCTTGCTGCACAACCTCTGCCAGTGGGAAGGGGAAGGGATCTAAAGCTGTACAGTTCTTACCGCAAGGATGTCCACTGTAATAGGCAAGGCGGAGAGTTTCTTCAGATATTTTAATAACTGCAGAGAGAATAAAATAAACATCAATTTCTATAAAGTCATAATCATTCACTGGAACAAACAAGAATAATATGGGTAAATACTTATCTAAGTATTATACAGTAACAAGTATGGTTATCATCCCTATTTTACAAGAATAAAAACAGACCCAGAAAAGGTAAGTTATTTGTAAAAAGTGTAACAAAAAATTTTGAAGTTGTTTTTCCCCTAGTATATATCCTATAATCTTTTTCTATCATATACATTTTGTAGCCTATCATAGTTCATTTTTTTCAGATGTCTTACAATTTTTTTAAGTGTGGAGAAAATAAATAATGCCTGCTGATTTTTTTAAAGGTAAGTCATTTGCCCTAGGATGCAAGCAGGGCAAGAGTCACTCAGGTCTGTGGCTGTAGATTCCCTGTGTGCAGCCACCGTGCTGCACCAGCGGAAGCGAGACTTAGAGAAGGGCACCAAACCTATCGCCTCCACAGAAAGTCACCAACTGTCATTTCCCCCCAGTTTTGAGAAAGGTACCAATCTTAGGAAAATTACCTGTGGACCTGACACCAAAAAAAAATAGAAAACGTCTCTCTTTTTAAAAGATTCTATTTATTTATGTTTAGAGAGAGCGGGAGGGAGGGAGGGAGGGAGAAAGAGAAGGGAGAAGAACAGCTGGTTCCCTCTCAAGCTCCCCTCACCAGGGACCCGGCCCACAACCCAGGCATGTGGCCCAACTGGGAATGGAACCGGTGCCCCTTCAGTTCGTGGGCCTGGGCTCAGTTCACGGAGCTACACCAGCTGGGCAGGAGAAGAAGTCTCTATAAGAAAAGGGTATCGTGTTTCCAGGCAGAGTCAGCAGTGCTTCACAGAATTGTTTTTTGGACACAATGGAAAGCCAGGACTAATTTCAAGTTGCCAGAATCAGAGCTTTGCCCTTAATGGTGAACACAAAATGTCTGGGCAGATGAGCGAAGCGATCTGAGTTTGGCCACACTTCCTTCCTGTAGTCCCTAAAACTAGGTCAAAATCAGGATCGTATGGCTGTTAAGACAGAGTTCCGGAGTCAGGGACGGGCTTCAGTTTGGCTCTGTCACCTCCTTGCCAGGCGATCTTGTGCAAGTCAGCGACCTCTCTGAACCTCATTTACTTCATCTGCCAAATAAGAACCAGATCCTGTTTCTACTTCACAAGTGTGGGAATTCACTGGGATAAACCATGCGTAGCCCTTAGCCATGGGGCCTGGAATCCTGCAGAAGCTCAATAAATGTCCACTACTAATCATTTCGTCTATCAACAAACAGATCTTTAAACATCTAGCCTTGTTCCTCAGACAGATACTCACCAGCCAATTCCTACTTGCTCCATTTCCACTTGAAGTCGTGGCTGGCCACACCTTTCTCTAGAACGTGTGCATGTACATGAAGCAGAGGCTTCAAAGTACAAGGAGTCCAATATAGGTAACTGTGCCCTGGCTGGTGTGGCTCAGTGGACTGAGGGCCTGCCTGTGAACCCAAAGGTCACTGGTTCGCCTGAGTTGCTGGCCAGGTCCGCCGTTGGGAGCATGCGAGAGGCAACTGATAGGTGTATCTCTGGCACATTGCTGTTTCTCTCCCTCCCTTCTCCCTCCTCTTAAAAAGTAAATAAATAAAATCTTTGAAAAGATAAATAAAATCTTTAAAAAAAAAACAGATAACTGTGACGACCTTCACATTTAAACGTTGGATAACACGCTCTGTGCTTTCCCGTGCGGGACCCAGCCTGTCAGCGGTGTGTCTCAGTGCTGTAGGTGGGGCAGCGGGTGTGTTTTTTCTGGTCATTCTGCTCCAGCAATGACTGCACGTGGCCACTAGGCAAGCACCTGGATCACGAATGGTGATGCTGCTTGACTAGGAGCAAATGAAAAGCCAAGCGGTGGATCTAGGAGTTTCACCTTCACAGCCGAGTGAAAATTCGCCTCCACATCAGATTTGATCGCCACCAACATCCAACTTAGGAGAGAGCTTGTGTGTATTTCTTGTCAGCCAAGCTCTGGGTACAAAGGTTACTGCCAACTCCTTTTCTTAAAGGAAAATTCAGAATTGTTGTACACATTAAAAATAGGTCGTCTCCCTAATTACATTAAATACCATCTACTATGTGTTGGCTACTGTGCTAAGTTGTTACATGTTACCTTATTTCATCTTCATTAACCACCTCTATAAAGTGGATATTTTTCTTCCCGTTTCACAGATATTTGAGCCGAGCTCGGTGAGGTTAGGTAAACTTGTCTATTGTGCTAGTTCATCAAGTACATCCACCACCAAGTGCACTACAAAGCCAGGAGAAACATCCAACATAGTAACACTGTTCTTAGGAAATAGAGCTGTAGCTCATGCGCCTCTTAGCATACCCCAAGCAAAACGGAAGCTCCTTAGTGTAATGTTATTAGACAGTTTAGAGTCCACACCATACAGGAGGTCACCGTGGGGACAAAGGGTACTTGGGACTTCTACAAAGCCAACCTTAAGGATGGGCCTCAAAGTCACTGGGGGTATGTTCTACCTCAAAGCCTAGCACTAGCTCCGGTGTCAAACTCATTCTCACCAGCGGCCACATCAGCCTGGCGGTTGCCTTCAAAGGGCCAAATATAATTTCAACTCCTTAACAGTTAAGGAACAGTTATGTTTATACAGCTCTAAAATTATTTTGGCCCTTTGAAGGCAACCGTGAGGCTGCTGTGGCCCCCCTGTGAAAATGAGTTTGACATCCCTGCGCCAGCTGGAGTAAATGCCACCTTTCTGGTTTGCTTTGAGTTAGTAGAAGTGACTTAAAGCAAACAAAACTAAAACCCTGGAGATTTTCTAAATGATTTAAGCCCAATGTAAAAGAAAAAGGGCTTCAAAGCCCCTCTATTTTCAATGAAGTTCAAGGAAAAAAAAAAAAGCAGTAACAAGGAAAAAGCACTTTGGGCATCCTCAGGTAGATGGAAGCTTGTTGTTAAACCAACAGACCAATTGTAGAGTTTGCAAGAACTGGTCACTGAGAAATATCAAACATTTGCACAATACATGCTTAGAAATTTCAGTTGTCCTTTGCAAACACCTTCAACCCAAAGAGCAAAAGATGTTCATGATGTTGACTCCCTACTCTCCCCACTTGCCATCAAACTGTGTTCTGAGTAGTTTTCACATTCAACTTGCAACAAATGTAATGAAATTAATGAAATGTAACACGGACAGGTAACTTTTCGAACGATTAGAATTGTTTCCCACACAATAGCAGGAACTAAGTGACCCTGGTCTCTGCCTGTTACCTTTCCCCGACTAAGCCTCAACCATAAGACAGACTTAAAAGTGAAAACAGTTACAGTTAAATACCAATGCTTAACGCCAGGAAACCCATGAACATTGGTGTGGAATTCACTCTTTGGCTAATAATGGTTTGAAATCAAGATTTAGTTGCAAATCCAGTGCCGCTGTATAATCTTCTTGCAATTTCCAGAACAACCTGTGGGAGCTTGCTGGGCTAACAGAAGGCCGAGGAGGGGGCCAGCGTGCCAGCTTGCAGTTTCCCCCTGCAGTTAGCGCATTTCTGAACAGCAACCAGCGTGCCCTTCGCAGGAGTGATCTCCCAACATTTTCTCATCTCTGCATGCACACAGAGCCAGCAGTTCCCCGTGATTCCTGTCTGGTGAGAGAAAGCCCAAGTACTGGCAACAGTCACTAGTACTTCAAATAGGATGAGAAGTCAAATCGTTTCCTAATTTGAAATTTCATGCACATCGACTACTAGAAAAGCTACTTCAAAGTTTAAATTCTAGGGGTGGGTAGACATAGGATACGGTATAAGGGGAGTAAATGATAATGGAAAAAGTACAATAAAAAATTAAAGTTAAAAATTTTTAAATTAAATTTAAATCCCAGTGGAAGAATGACTACAGATAATGCACGGTGCATTTTTATAAACCGGGTAAAAAGACCAAAACCGGGGTTGGGGATGGATTCGCACGGCACTGCTTTAGGGTTTCCAGACCAGTCACAGACACGCAGCGCTCAGGAAAACGCGCCAGCACCCAGAAATAATGAACACGCCTTAGATGTCCAGAAAGGGTTCTTGTAAGGAGAAACTTGTAAGTATGCCTGGCCACTAGGTACTGAGGCCACAGCAGAAAACGTAACAGACAACAGTGGGAAGGGTTTAAGTTTTCACAGATTTAAAACTAAAATGGCTTCCTAAATAAGTGGATCTGGGAGCTGGGGATGGACGTGGAAGTTACGAGGCGGCCTGAGGGCGAGAGGCCGTGAGCCGCCTGCAGACACGGGGAGAACCCCCGCCTACGGCCGGCCGGGAACGGGGCGACGCGGGGAGAGGGGCCTCCGGGACGAACGGGGACGGGCCGCGACCGACACCCGCCGCGCGCGCGGGCTTCCCGCGGGCCGGGCACCCCCGCCTCGCCGCCCCGTCTCGGGGCGAAAGCAGCGGAGACGCAGACTCGGCAGAGCCGCCCGCCCCCGGCGTCCGAGGCCCGGGTCTCGCCGCCGCGCGTCCCGAGCACCGAGCGGGTCACCTCCGCTCCGAGGCGCGCCGGGCGGCCGGGACCCGGTGCTCGGACACGGCGGGGCGGGGGCGCCGGCGGGGAACGTCGGGCCCCGGGGTTTCCACCCGTGCGCCGCGGCTTTAGACACTCCAGCCTCGCCCCTCTCCCGGCCCGAGAAGCTGGGAACAGACAGCAAGTGGCAGGGAGAAGAACCAGGCAACTTGCGAACGCGGTTTCGGAGACAGAACGGAGCTGGCCGAGCACGTAAAAATGGTCGCCCGCCGCTCGCTGCAAACCGGGGAAGGGCAGCTCCCGCCGCCCAGTCGGGGCCAGGAACCTACCCGCAACTTCCAGCCTCTTTTCCTCCGTCCGACCGCACACCAAGTTTCCAGGCTCGCTCGGCCGGGGGTCGGGGTCGGGGGGCTCGCCTCCTCTCGCCCTCGGGGGCTTTACCGAGGGCGTGAAGGCGCTCGTCCCGGCGTCCGGCCCGAAAGCAGCACCAGCGCCCGGGAGACGCCGCACCGCGCGCGAGCCAGACTCCCCCGCGCTCCCCGCCGCCGCCGCCGCCGCCGCCGCCCCGCGAACGAGCGAGCAGCGGGCGACGCGGGGCGCCCAGAGCCGCTCCGCGGGCCGGCGCCGCTCCGGGCGAGCCCTCCCGACGGCGAACAGCCGGCCCGGGACGCCGCCGACACGCGGGGTCCGCGCCGCGCGCGCCCCTGCCCGCCCCGGGCCCGGCCGCGGAGGCCCCGCTCCGCCGAGCCCCGCCGCCCGCCGGGGGAGGGCAGTCCCCGCGCGGGCAGCGGCCGCCGGCCCGAACTTCCCGAGTCCCGGCGGCGGGCGCGCCCGGGCCTGGCCCCGGGTCCGACCCCAACGGCCCCGGGCGCTGGGGGCGGCGCGCCGGGGCCCGCGACCGTTACTGGGCAGCGCCCGCCGCCGCCCGCCCGCCCGCCCTGCGCGCCCGCCCGCTCTCACCTTCTTCGGGTCCGGGTTCGCCGCCAGCCGCGCCTGCAGCTTCTCCACAACTTGGAGCGCCGACTCCGCCGCCATCGCTGTCACTGGCGCGGCCTCCTCGCCGGAACTGGGCTCGCGTCGCGTCCGCGGGCCGCGGCTCCGCCCTCCGAGCATCCCCGGCGGAGACGGAAGCGCCACCGGCCCCTTCCGGGCCTCGGCGGGGCGGGCAGGTGCGGGGCGCGGGCGCGGGGCCCGGGCGGCGCAGGCCCCGCCCCCAGGAGCCGCCGGCCCGGGCCGCAGGCCCACTCGGCGGCCGCGCGGCCCCGGCGCCCTGGCTCCGCGCGGGCGGCTCCGAGCAGCCGCGCTCGCGGCCTCGGTGTGCGGAGCCGAATCCGGGGAGGAGCTGCGGGGTCTGCTCCGGACCGACCGGGGCGGCAGGGCCGGAGCCCGGCCCTTTAACCCCGATCCCACCCCTGGGGGCCGTGAGCCACGCCCCGAGTCACACCTGTCAGCGCTGCCGGCCCGCCCGCCGCTCCGGGAACGCGCGGGGAGTGCGGCCTCGGCCTCCGGGGTCGGGCGCTACGGCGGCTCCGCCCTCAGCGCAGCCCGAGGCGGCGGGTCCTCTTACCCCACTTCGCCGGTGCGGAAACCGAGGCTCGCGAAGACCGAGTGAAGTTGCGTGTGGTCAAGTAGCAGGAGAGGGACGAGGCTGGAATTTGAATCTAAATAGTCTAGGTCCACTGGGAAGGCACGGCTCTGAGCAGGTCGGGGAACTGAGGCCCAGAGGAAAAGGGATTGGTGTCAAGTCAAACAGCTTAGCTGCAAGAAGAGGTCATGACGTGCGTCTGGATTTCCCCCACACCGTGCCTGGTACTTAGGCATGAAACAAACAAACAAACAAACAAACAAACAAACAAATACAGACTCTTCCAGGTCCCTGCCCTGGAAAAAGAAACAATGTAAGCTGTTTCTTCAAACGCAGTTCCGTCCCCTCGCGGTGCTGAGAAGCCCTCCCTACTGCGTTCCCTCCCCTCTGCTTAGTGCCACTCCCCCTGCAGCTGACCCTTTTCGCGGTAAGTTGTCGATTTATTTTTCTGACTTGTCACTGGGCTGTCTATCAAATGCAGTGACTGAGCTGCCCAACATTAAGTCTCTGCTGGCGGAACAACCCAGTTGAAATTATCAGCCGTGGACAGAAGTCCACACAAGACTGACGACCACCCACCTGGTGTCCTAAGACGCCATAGCGGGTGTGATGGAAAAGGCATCGCACTGGGCCACGGGGGAGCGGGTTCCAGCCCTGCCTCTCGAGTCTCCCTCCTCTACATAGCGAGTGCGTTTACATTCTAAGTTCCTTCCGTGTTGAAAATGTAGCACTGGAGCAAAGGAAAATGAACCTATTATTGAAGCAGAATTGCTGACTAACTGACCTGGCATATACTCAGGACACATGGAACATTTTGCGCATGGTGCCCAGGGAGAGCTCAGCAACCAGAATGAGAAAAAACAGTGCATGCTGCTAGGGCCTTCCAGACACAGCCCGCCCCACCCCTCCCCTGCATCTATGGCAGCCTCACCTGCAAAGTGAAGAACTCTTACACTTGAACAGAAGGTATGACTGCCCTCCGAGCTAATTATGTCTGTGTCTTTCGGATTAAAAAGAAAGTTTTTAACCATTTCTTCAATTATTGGTTTTAGAGAGAAAGAGAAATACTGATTTGTTGTTCCACTTATTCTATGCATTCATTGGTTCTTTTTAAAAATTTTTTTGAAGATTTTATGTATTTATTTTTAGAGAGAGGGGAAGGAAAGGAGAGAGAAAGATCCATGTGTGAGAGAAACATTGGTTGACTCTCACATGCCCCCAACTGGGGACCTGGCCAGCAACCCAGGCATGTGCCCTGACCAGGAATCGAACCAGCGACCTTTTGGATTGCAGACTAGTGCTCAGTCCACTGAGCCACACCAGCCAGGGCTCACAGGTTGATTCTCATCTTGTCTGTGCCCTGACTGGGAATCAAACTCACAATCTTGATGTATCAGGATGTCACTAATCAAATGAGCTAGGCAGCCAGGGCTTTAACCACTTCTTAAAATGATACAGTGTATATGCTCATTGGGAACTGCCATGGCAATCTTTGATTTACACAATGGTGCTCAACACCCTAGGTCAGAGGCTGGTTTGTCCATTTTGGATTGACATCTCACACACATTGCATGAAGGTTTGTTAAAAACTGGATTCAGTATTAAATTTAAGGCTAGCCCAGAGTATTATCTGAAAACCCGAGGACTCCCTAGTTCTTCTGCCAGCACAATAGTGCCCCGTGAGAGGCATTAAAAGCTCCACCTTGTGCGGCTCAGAAGGTATGTCTAAGGCTACACTCGGGGAGAAAGTGGCAGGGAAGCTCTCCTAGTCTGCTATACACACTTCTGGGTGTTTGCGACAAACACGGGTTACTTATTTTAATTTTGGAAAAGAGCGATCCCAGGTTGCCTGGTACTAGAGTCATTTTTTTAAAAAAACTGAAAGACACCCTGGTATGGCTCAGTGGATTGAGCGCCAGCCCATGAACCAAAGGGTCGCCGGTTCCATGCCCACTCAGGGCACATGCCTGGGCTGTGGGCCAGGTCCCTGGTAAGGGGTGTGTGAGAGGCAACCACACATTGATGTTTCTCTCTCTTTCTCGCCCTCTTCCCTTCTGCCTAAAAATAAAATAAATAAAATCTTTAAATAAGAAAAAGTTTTTCTTAAAAAAGAAAGACAAGTAAGAAAACAAACCCACCCACCACCTTGTCCTCAATACAACAAGGAGCCCTTGCCTTTCTCGGAAGAGTCAAGTGGGAGTTGGGGGCTGGACGGTGTGCTGAGGGGCGCGGGTGGGCGGAGGCTTCCCCTCGGCCCTCTCCTGGCCGGGCTCTGCCACTCCGCTCTCTTACCAAGCAGGCCGCACCTGAGATTGGAGGGAAGGCGGGGGGTAAGGGACACGGGGCTGGGGAATCAGAGGCCACCTGAGCTCCGCGCCCCTGCTCTATTACCAGTGCTGACTGTGGCTCCAGGTCCAGCTATTGGGACTCACTGACACTCTTTCCTCCTACTTTACAGAATCCCCCTGAGGCTGTTCATGTGTCATATAAAGTAACTGGCATCCAGTAGTTTGCTTTATTTTCCTTTTAGGGCAGCAGTTATTAGGGAAAGTTCATGCCCCCCGCAGAGGGAGGGAGTGTTGTGCTCCACCGTAAAGGAGGACCCGGAACGCTCCATCTGGGCGGTTGGCGCTGCACAGCTGCAGCCACTGTTCTCCTCCCCGACGGGCTCGTTCTTCTGAATTGACATATTCATCTTTGTTTCACGTCCTTCAGACACGTTCAGTTGGCTATTTACTCAGGGATGGCATCTTTCCGGGTTTCACGGGCTGGATTCGTTTGCCGTCCTCAAATATGATCATACGAGTGCAGACTGCCAGCTCCAGGGAACGGTGTCTGAGGTTCAAAATCCACACCTTTCACGGACTGCCTTGCCGCTGGAGTAAATCCCCGCAGACAATCTAACCCTAGAAACCCTCTGAGGCCCTTTGTCTAAAGAGGCCAGATAGCAGCAGCCCCTGGAGAATCTGTATTTACCAGGAAAAAAGTTACCATAAAAACCAAAGAGTAACAAGTAAATACTTTGATACTTTATGAATTTATATAAATTGTATCCAGGTAATAATCTAAACCAGCAAGTTTTAACTGGTGTGGCCCAAGAAGTTTCAAAATATACCACACCTGCCCTGAATGGTGTGGCTCAATGGGTTAGGCATCATCCCACAAACCAATAGGTGGCCGGTTCAATTCCCAGTCAGCACGCATGCCCGGGTTGCAGGCCAGGTCCCTGGATGCAGGTGTGCGAGAGGCAGCCCATCAAGGTTTCTCTCAAACATGGATGTTTCTCTCCCTCTCTTTCTCCCTCCCTTCCCCTCTCCCTAAAAATAAATAAATAAAATCTCTCTCTCTCTCTCTCTCTCTCTCTCTCTCTCTCTCTCTCTCTCTTTTTTAATGCAACACCTGACTATTCAGTCAGGGGCACTGACCTCTTTTCCCTCAGGTTGTCAAATAAAAAAATGACAAGCCAACACAATAGCCATCCTGTGTGAATGAACTGAAATTACACCTACTTTTGTCATATTGGCAAAAAACATAACTTTTGGTGTGCCACATACTTTTAGTAATCAGTTTATGTGTGTCACGAAATGAAAAAGTTTGAGAATTGCTCACCTAAATGATTTCCCTTAGCTCTTTATCTTGTTTTTGTTTCAGCATTTATCACAATTTGAAATGATGCTAGTGTTCTTGTTTTTAATCCTCTTTTCCCATTACTAAGAAATCACTGTGGCTAAAACTGCCTAGAACATAGCAGATAATGATCTACCTCACCTTGTTGTTTTGTGGATGAAATGAGATTAGATGTGTTGACAGCGAAGCGTTACCAACCAATAAGATTATCTTAATTCATCTGAGGAAATTGGTGATTAGGAAACTCCAGTGATGCCCTGCCCTCAGCTCCAGAAACCGAGAGTATGGACGTGGTCTTTGCTGCGAATGCCCTTGGGACGAGGTTGTTAGAAAAAGTATAAGCTAAAGGGAGGTAGCTGGGAGCTGATGGGGCTGGACAGGTAAGAGAAAGGGGGAGGAGGGAGAGGGGGGAAACGTGGATTGACTGGATTAAGTCTGGACCGATTAGCTTTCCACCCCCAAGGTCAGAACAGGTCTGTGAACCGTCTCAGTTTGGGTGTCCACAAATGACAGATTCTCAAAGAGGCCCACACCTCCCTCCTCTCATCGAGGTGGGGGGGGGGATTAAAAACCACTGAGTTCAGTAGAAAAGATTAAGAAAGCGCCGTGTGGGAGTGAGAATAACTACCACTTGTCCAGTGCCTTCCAGAAGGCCCGGTTCTGTGCCACGTTTCTAAGTGTCTCTCCACCTTCCAACCATCTCTGGGGCATTTGAAGGATGAGGACCCAAGGCTCAGAGAGGCTGGGCCACTAGCTCTAATGTGGTAAATGACAAATCAAAAATGAGAAACCTGGTTCCTCATTTGTTAGCTGAGGAGGGTTAATTGGGCAAAGTAATGATAACAATAACAATGACGTAAGATTTCCTTTTAAAGTAAATTTATTTAGTCCTGGCTGGGGAGCTCCGTTGGTTAGAGTGTCATCCAGATATGCCAAGGTTGTGAGTTCGATCCCCCATCAGGGCACATACAAAAATCAACCAATGAGTGCATAAGTAAGTGGAACAACAAATGGACGTTGCTCTCTTTCTCTCTCTCTCCC